CCCCCCCCCCCCCCCCCGCACTCACACACACACACACAGCGAGCCACACCCACACCAACACACTAAAAACATCACACACACACACACAGACTCTCACACATTGTCGCAGGCCAGGTCCGTGTATGCAACTGTATGCGGTTTAGTGCGGGGCCGACATCCAAGCATTTCGAAGCCATGGGCCAGAGTCCTGCCTGCGGTCCCTGGCTTCGGAAAGTGGCCTTTTGTTTCTTCTGTGTTCTGAAGGCGTTCTTTAGCAGTTAGGAGTTTGCTCTATGGTGATGGACATGCAAGTTCAATTTACTCATTCACATGTCGTACCGTTGTCTAGCGTATGAGCCTGGGAGCTGTTGGCCCAAGGTGAGCATTGCTGCGAGAAGCCTGGAGAGCCCTCTGACCTCACTTTCCAGTGCTTATTCAGGACTGGTTCTCGTATACCAGTACAGGGCCACTGTTCGAGCTTGGGGGACTTAACAGTGGACATGGCGTAGGGGCAGCGCAGGCCAGCCCAGCTGTGAAAAGGTGGCCATCTTCCCTAGTATTCTCTCAGCACAAGCACAGCGCAGCCGTGAAAGCATGGCATACACGGCGGATTCAGAAAACCGTTTCCAAGGCCTCCTCGGTTCCCTAGGAATGGGCTCCTCTGGCATAATATAGGTTCATGCTCAATTGGGACTGCGTTACACTTAGGGTTGCGGAGCTGGACAAGCCCAGCGAGGTCATTGATGTGCAGCAGGCTGTTGCCGCTCGCCGCCCGAACTCGGTTGTTGCGTCTCGCACTTGTTGTGCGTTTCTGGCTCTGTAGTTCACCAGGATATGCAGTTAGTAGTGTTGATTCATTGGATTCCTTTTGTCTGTGTACTGCACCTTCTCTCAGTTGACGGCTGGGCCCTCCAAAATTGGCATGGCTCAGCACGACGCTCTGCAGGAGGAGTGCGTGGATGCGGAGGTACCTGGAGTGCAAAATGTGGCAAAATACTGGGGGCTTTAGAGTAAAGCGCCAGTTCTTACTAGTAGCCGAGTAAAGCAAGCTCATGACTGCAGAGCTGGCCGCTAGCCCACACGCTTCTTCAGGTACCCGATGAGCCGGAAAACCTTCACAGCAATCCACAGCTTCTGCCGATCTCTAGAGAGCAACGCTTGTCAGTGGCGAGCGCAGAGTGACTTGGGCGAATTTCGGGGTAGCTGACTACTGAGTACGACCGCGACGCTCCGACGGTGGCAGGTGGGCACTGCATCGTAAACGTGTCAGTTCACACACTTCATGCAAGGGGGCAGGCAGTGCAACAGGTCAATGCGTAGCTGCAACTCCGACACCACGCCGCCTCTGCTGGCTGAGCAACTGTGGGCACATTTTCCACCCACCCTACTCCACGTCCATTTGTGAATTCCTCTGAGTCTCTTGCAAAGGCGCTAGGCAGGAGGTCCTTGCTTGATGTATAATCCGGGATGGCGGTCTGTGCGATTGCAGCAGGGTGTGTTGATCAGCGTTGCAGTCGAGGCTTCCGTTGCCGTATCGGATGTCGTTCCCAGTGCCCTGGCCAACAGAGGTTTTAGGCTTTACAGCCTTGCAGATGATGTTTTTCTGCTTGAGCCAGGCTTGCTGTGAGGATTCTCGAGGATGTTCACGGGTTTAACCTTGGTGCCAGGTCTTTGCGTCGCTTGAGGCTGTGGTTCGTGATTTTGTTTCGCTTCGATCCTTTCACAGTGGTGTGGACCGGGATTCGAGTCTCTGCGAAACGCTGAGGACACGAACTCCTCGCGAGTTTCGAAGAGGGGGACGCTGGACACTGACACGACAAATATGTCGAAGAGGAGATCTCAAGACACCGACGGCAGCAAGGCTGCCGGGTTTCCCAACTGACGACGGCAAGGGTTGAAACTTGACATGCACAGAGCAACACACCAGCTTGTGGGCTCGGCTTACGCTGCTGCTCTTGTTGTTGAAGGTTCACGTCGTAGACGATACTACTTGATTGCATCCTTTCATCCGGGAACGCAGCTGTTCTGCAACATCCTTTTTCCCTTCCAACTGGCTTAGTCCACCGCCTGTCTGCAAAGTTTCTACTTGTAGTCTTGCCTAGCGACATCGTGCAACGTCGTCTCTCGCTTCTGGACGGGGCATGCACGCCACCTCTACCATGGCCCTTTGACGAGAGTCGGTCATCAATGCGGCTTCTTCTAATGCTCCGATTTGTCATTTCGAGTCGGCACCGACGGAAGCAACGTTTTTTTTTCTGAAGATTAGCTTGACGCGTCGACCCTATATTTCCGCTGAAGTAGTGTGATGGCAGGCCTTGAAACTCATGTCCGAATTTGCAAAGCACAAGAGTCCGTCCGGACACCACCGAAGTTGCTCAGACTTCTGGCGACCTGTGACCTGTGGCAGGAAGTTCGAAGGTCGGTGGAGATACCCTCAGGCGGCTCGGGCGAGGCGAAGATGAGTCCTTGGGTCGACATAGAGCTGTCGCTTCCTTTTGCCACCTTTTGACCTTAGGGGTTGGCGTAAAGAAAGCCGTACACCTTCGATGCTTTGTATACTCTATTATGCTCCTTGAATTCCAGAGTGCAACGCCGATCCTTGAACGTGCTCTCAGAGCTTCCGAGGTAGTATAAAGCGCTTCCACCAGCGGTCGGACAGCCGCCTTACCCGGCATTTGTCGCGACGGTATTCGGCTGTGGACCAGGAGCTTCTAGGGCTGGAGATGAAGCCCGAAGCAAGCTTGAGGCTCGGCTTGGCCGTGAAGAACGCATCTTGCTGTGAAGGAGATCGTCCGCGGTATTTCCCTTGCGAGGACACTGCGAGGCACATGGTTTCGCACTTGGTGGCAATGCGGAGCTTTCGAATTCTGCGAGTGCGGCGGAGGCTGCGGGTCCATCTGGAGATACAACCCATCGCGGCTCTCCCCAGAGGCCCGGGCCCCAACAAGTTTGCGCTTCTTCTGCAAGCTGCGTCTTCCACTCCGCGTAGCTTTGTTTTGAAGGATCGCATGGCGATCTACAACCAGTCCATCGAGGTGCGCTGGACCTGTTGCGATCCCGCAGAGGTGCAGGAAAAGGTAAGACAGAGAGAGAGAACATGGACTAGGCCGTGAGGCTGATGAATCCTCTGAGAGAGGGACTGCCGGTTGAAGATGTCGAGCGCATGCATTCTATGAAGTGGTGCTTCAACGGAGCTCAAGCTCCAAGCTTGGAAACGTCAGCGCATCAGTAGTGGTGCTTCAACGGAGCTCAAGCTCCAAGCTTGGAAACGTCAGCGCATCAGTGGCTTTTGTCTCATTTTGCACCCATCGGCCGGCGACAGAAGAAAGACCCTGTCACAAAAGCTTCCACACCCACAGAACCGTGCTACTAGGCGGACCACTTCGATGTCTTTTACTCCCACACCTGGTTTACTGCGGGCAGGTGGAAGGCAGGGCCTCGTCTGAGTTTTTGGGGGGAATTCTGGTATATTCCTCAGGGCTTCGGGGATCAAGCCCAACCGTTGGTGGGGCCATGCAGCCCATAGGAGTCAGGTGTTCAAGGTGTCTCGGTGCTTCTGAATCTCTACTCTAGCGAAGACATGGCAACAGTGCAAGACAATCGCTACATAAATTACTATCCCTGTGGCCATCAAGCATATCTTTTGGTTGGCGCACGTTATGGTTTGCCACGCGGCCGCGGTCCTTGTGACAACCTTCACGAAGCTGATGCGTGAAGCTTCTAGCCATCGGCATGCGTTTCCCCCTGCATGCTCAAATTTGGAAGAAAGAACCAGACAACGAGTCCGCAGGTGCTGACGCTCATGTTGCAGTTTGGGTGGCAGACCGTCCTGTTGATCTGGGGCCTAGCTGCCTCTCGGCCTGAGGACTGTGGCTTTGTTCGAGCTTCCTAGATTTCCGGGGATGCTCAAATCGTCCGAAGGTAGCCTTGGCCACTATTCTGCGGCAGACGGACGTGCTTCCGGCACCTCTGTCTTTCCAGCCTGATATCGTCGACTTCAGCGATGCTGCTCGACTGCAATAGCAGCAGGATCCGAGGGTCTCCTTGCGACTCGGCCTGGCTGGAGCTATGTGGCATTGTGCTTACATGCCGCGTCGAATCAGACGTGTGGGAGGAGTCCCTGGGCGCCACTCTTTGCTTCTGGCGTGATGCCAAAAGTTCAATTCACGCAGCTCGCCTCCCCTCCCGTGAGCCAAGGAGTGCCCGCTTGGGCCCTGGTGTCTCCTTTGCTCATTCGTGGCTCCCCGGCTCAGAGAGAGCGTGCCCCGGAGAGCTGCAGTCAGACCTCTGCGTCCACACGACACGCACACGCACCTGATTTCTTGGCCTCTTTCGAGGCTTCCTTGATGGGCCTTGTCATTGCTCCATATGGAGCTGGCCTCTACAAAGATGAGCTTTGCTTCCTAGACGTGGGAGCCTGAGCCGGCGGAGACGCGGCAGTGAGGCGAGGATATCAATTCACATCCTCCTTGCAACTGCGTTTGTGTTTGCCCTTGGTACTGTAGTCTTGCTGCGTAATATTGCATAATGCAACATCGATGTCGCTTCCGGCATTGCCACGCGTTCGGGTGTCACGGGTTTCTGCTGTTTGACTTTCGGTGGCTTATCCACCCCTGATGTGCTCTGACCTGGGCCATGAGCCTTGAGACCTACCCACAGACCCGTAAGCCCCACTGCACATCCAGTCAAGCGAAACTTAGGTGGCGAGTATCCATCAAACAGACACGGATTTGATGGAAAGGGGAGTGTACGGCATCGGCGGCTTCTTGAGAATCTCCCACGAGCCCCCGAGCTGCCAGAGGACATTGAGATGAGTGCCGTTGTTCACTCTGTGAGATGTATCCATCGTCTACATCCAATAATTGTAGTTCAAGCCAAGCTGGATGATTGAACCCAGATCGATCCATGCTTTGTGTGCTGGACAGAACCGCACTTGGCTTTGAGTGGTTTCTGTTGGAGTGTTCTGGCTGCCACCGCCACCGCCCTATCGCCACCGCCGCCGCCGACCCCGCCGCCCGCCACCGCCGCCACCGCCACCACCACCACCACCACCACCCCCAACGCCATCACCGCGGCAACCACCGCCAACCGCCACCCCCAGGACCAGCACCATTGTCACCAGCAGCACCGCCACTGTCACCACCAGCACCAGCGCCATAACCTCGTCATGGTGCTGGTGTTGCTTCTGATGACGGTGATGATGATGATGATTATTATTATTATTATGTTTATGATTAGGATTAGGATGATGATAATGATGATGAGGAGGAGGTCGTCGGGTGTGCCCAATCTTAGAGACTATTGCGCGAATCCTGCTGGAAACCAAGGTTGCGGATTTTGTGGAGCCCTCCGTACTTATCGAGGCTTGAGCAGCAACTTTTCTCACATACCAACTGCAAAAAGTTTGCCGATTGTTGTGTTGTTTGGTACCCGTAGCGGAATGCGCCGGAGGCTTTGGTGTGTCTTCGAATTGGCAGCCTATCGCAAAGCAACTGGGCGAAGATTTGCGGTCAGGGGCAGAAGGGCTCAGAAGGATCATGCGCCGCAAGAATCAGGGAGTTCCTGCGGCCTTCTCTTGAAGAGGTTTGGTTCACATCGTAAGGAGATCGGTGTTCGTTGGAGAACAGCCCATGCAGCCATTGCAGGAACAGATGACAGGCTGCCGAACGTTTGCTGCGGGGTGTTCAGGTGAATCCCGATGGCAAGATCACCTTCGCACCGCTTTTTGTCGAGCGAACGATTCTTTTGTCGGTGCCCTGGCACGTAATCCTGAGCTAAACCGAGAACTTCGTTCTCGCTAAGTTGGGGAGTTCTGATTGTTCTTGGCTTCAGGTGTCGCATCATAGAGGAGGTCAGACAAACACTTTCAGGGCTGCCTTGCCATCCGTTCTTTCGTGCGCAGCAGGTGCTTTGCGTTTACCTGGCGAACTTCTGCATACTGGCAGCCAGCACCAGCAGCGACTCCCAGTTCCTGGCACGTTTTGGACGCTGGGACGAACTCTACCCGTTGTAGGAATTTAGGAGACGATCGGATCCCCTGATCCACTATTTAGTTTGGGTTGCCTTGCAGTGCACGTTCTCAGCTCCACGCCCACAACAGGGAGGCGTCGAAACACAGCGAAGTGCAAGCATTGTGTAGTGTGCATACGGGGAAGGTAGGATGGGAGAGGTTCTGCAGGCCTTGCCAGCTGTTGCTGAGGATACATGGCGATGTTCATCCCTTTCGGACTTGCTGTGCACAGCTCTCCGGCAAGGATTATGTCGAGAATCGGAGAGAGTAGTTCCACACTTACTCCAGCTCCGCTTTGGCTAGATCGGCAGCCTAGGCTGCTGCACAGGTTGGAAGAACATCAATCAAACCATATGCCGACCTGCAGTACAGCTAAATGAAGGAGATGCTGGCAGAACGACCTGAAGTAGACTGAGGTCTCAGAAAGAATTATCGAACCAAGTATCAGCTCCTCTATGACTTGGAGCATTTCGTTCCTGGTCTTGCATCCAGATCTGTGTCTAGTCCAGAACTTGCCCCTGAAGAGGCGTTCTGGGGCTTCTGAAGGACTTGCTATCGGAAGCTATGTTAGGCTTTGGATGGTGTGTTAGCTTGTGTGAGCGACCCGTTGGCAAGCTGCCGTCTTCAACGGGTTTGGCAGAGCTTCGTGCACTCTGGGTTTGCTGGTTCGGCAGTGCATGGCGCCTTTCAAGCTCGCCCTTGTGTGTGTCGGTCGGGGTGTGTGTGTGTGTGTATGTATGTATATATATATATGGGCTTTCACCAAAAAGGGCG